GAGAGAGAGAGTGAGAGCGAGAGCGAGAGGGGGGGGGGGGGAGAAAGAGCGAGATCAATATCAACATTTATCAATCAATATAGAAACTATTACTGCAGAGATGTTGTATTTTGACATTTCTATGGAGAATCACTGACGAGCCACCACTCTGCAATTAAAGGGACTGTTAAGATCAAAGGTTTCTTGTACTGTTTTTCGCATCATACAACACCCTAAAATCGGTAAAAAAAACTCCATACCTGCTTCTCTATGGTTTCTGTAACATTACACTGTAAGGGCAGATGGGGCCTACCTCAGCTATGCAATCCTAACTGAACTTTATTAGATTATGCACCATATTTTTCCAGTCAGAAATCTAATAAACTTCGAATATCCACGTTTCGTAAATGTGCTCTTAAGCTTACATGTTCGAATAATTTAAAAATCTTGTTACTTATTATATCAAGTACCTAATCGATCGCTTGTCATATGTTTCCTCATTGTTATTGATATAAAAATTATTCCAGCAGGAATTTTTGTCTAGGAGCAACCTGTCAAATCACAGCGCCGCCTATCGTCACAGCACACGACGCTCCCTGGTGAGACCATGACTCTATACAACAAGCTTAGCGCACCCCGATGCGACCATGGCTCTCTACAACAAGATTAGCGCCCCCTGGTGAGACCGCACCATTCTATATGAAGCCAGCATCCCGAGATGTAGTGCGAGGATCTCTTCTACACCCTGGTCACCCCTACTCATTATATTATCAATCACTTAATTACCTGTTAGATGTTTCCTTATATATATATATATAATTAATAATAGATATGATATACTAAATAATAGACTCATACAGACATGTTTATTTATACATTAGATTTGATTTTGACATTTCCATGGAGAATCACTGACGGGCTGCAGAAGTGCTAAGAGCAAATTAAGGTATTTGTTCATGTACTGTCACATAACACCCTGAAATTGGAAAACAATTCTAAACAAATTTGCTCCATACCTGCTTCTCTATGGTTCCTGTAACGTTACACTGTAAGGAAATGTGGGGCTTATCTCAGCTATGCAATCCTAACTAAACTTTTCATTAGATTACCCATCATATTTTGACAGTCAGAAAACCTAACAAACCTCTACGTTTCATAAATGTGCTCTTAAGCTCTTAAAGTGATTACGTCACCGTAAATAGTAAAAAATATTTCCACTTTTTCACAAAATATAAGTAATTCTGCTTCAGCTTTTATGGTTAAATTTGCTGCATTATACTTCTTATTTTGCTATATTGTTCGACTGTGAACATACACTCGTGACGCATTAATATAGCCCATAATGCACGCAATTAATGTCAGGAACACTAATATCAAACCGTTCAGGTTTTTGGATTTTTAACCTAGTTGAGAGAACAATCTTTATCAGGTAAGAATTTGACGATACGGGTAGTCCGTTAGTTCTTACTTTTAATGTAAAAAAAAGGCAACAAAAATTTTACAAATTTTACCATAGAAATTCGTGACGTAGCCATTTATAACGTTAAAATTTTATTATATCAAGTACTTAATCAATTGCCTGTCATGTGTTTCCTCATTGTTATTCATATAAAAAATCTTTGCAGTGGGAATTGTCTAGGAGCAGCCTGTCCGATCATAGCGCCGCCTATCGTCACAGCACTTGATGCCCCCTGGTGAGACCATTCCTCTCTACAACAAGCTTAAGCGCCGCCTGGTGAGACCATGACTCTCTACATCAAGCTAGCTCCCCCTAGTGAGACCATGACTCTCTACATCCAGCTTAGCGCCCTTAGTGAGACCACACCACTCTACATCAAGCTTAGCGCCCCCTGGTGAGACCATGACTGCTCTACATCAAGCTTAGCACCCCCTAGTGAGACCATGACTCTCTACATCAAGCTTAGGCGCCGCCTATGAAACCATGGACTCTCTAACCTCAAACTTAGCGCCCCTAGTGAGACCATGACTCTACATCAAGCTTAGCGCCCCCCCTAGTGGGACCATGACTCTCTACATCAAGCTTAGCGCCCCTTAGTGAGACCACACCACTCTACATCAAGCTTAGCGCCCCCTGGTGAGACCATGACTCTCTACATCAAGCTTATATAGCACCCCCTAGTGAGACCATGACTCTCTACATCAAGCTTAGCGCTCCCTAGTGAGACCATGACTCTCTACATCAAGCTTAGCACCCCCTAGTGAAACCATGACTCTTTACATCAAGCTTCGCTCTCCCTAGTGAAACCATGACTCTCTACATCAAGCTTAGCGCCCCTTAGTGAGGCCACACCACTCTACATCAAGCTTAGCGCCCCTGGGAGACCATGACTCTCTACATCAAGCTTAGCAACCCCTAGTGAGTACCATGACTCTCTAATATTCAAGTATTAGCGCCCCCTAGTGAACCAATGGTGACTCTCTACATCAAGCTTAGCGCCCCCCTAGTGAGACCCATGGACTCTCTACATGCAAGCTTAGCGCCCCCTAGTGAGACCATGACTCTCTTACATCAAGCTTAGCGCTCTCTAGTGAGACCATGACTCTCTACATCAAGCTCTTTGCCTCCGGGTGAGACCACACCACGCTACATCAAGCTTGGTGCCCCCTGATGAAACCGCACCACTCTACATCAAGCTTAGCGCCTCCTGGTGAGACCGCACCATTCTATATGAGCCATGCACCACTCTCCGATTAAAGGAACTGCTCGGAGTAAAGGTATTTATTCATTTACTAGTTTCTGCAACTCATGACACCCTGAAATTAGATATAATTGATATATTAATAATTAATATAATAATTAGGCTATGTATTATATATAAATTAATGTAATATATATATATATATATATATATATATATATATATATAATATTATATGTATATAAATTAGTGATAATTAAAATATTGATATAATAATTGATTATATATTAATATAAATCAATAATGATTTTATAACATTAATATGATTTCCACATTTCCATGGAGAATCAACCGGACGGGCCACCACTCTCCGATTAAAGGAACTGCTAAAACAAAGGTAATTGTTTATTTACTAGTTTTCGTATCACAAAATTCCCTGAAATTGGATATAATTGACGTATCATTGATTATACATTAATGTATATCGAGATATCGAGTTTTGTTTAATTCTATGAATAACGAAGACTTTTGAATATGCTAAATTTAGTTATTCCACATTTTTTTATGCTGGTTACTGTAACGTTTATAAGACAGACGAGAATTGCCTCAGCTATGCAAGCCTGATAAAGTAAAAATGCCCCTTTATATTTATTGGACGTCATATTTCGCCAATCATAAATCCAATATATTTTCACGTTGCGTAAACGTTGCTCTCAAGCTTACATGTTTGATTAATTTGAAAATCATTCCAGTTATTATATCAAGTACTTAATCAATTGATGTCATATGTTTCCTAATAGTTAATGATATGAAAAATCTTTGGCTTGATGTAGTGTGAGGACCTTCCTTACGCCTGGTAGAGGAATGCCACAGAAGAATCGAAGCAGAAGCGGAGGAGGCAGAGGGAGCATGATGCCCACCTATTCGCGTCGGGGGACTTCCGAGACAAGCCATCGTAACTGACGGTTACAGTGTTTTATACTGATATTCCACGTGTTTTTAGAAAAATTTGTTGTATTTTATACTAATCTTTTATTGTAAGTTCAATCCCATATGCATGTATGAGCATGTGGTCTCACGTTTTATGTGTACGACTGCGGCCCGTTGTCAGAAATTCTCATTTCATGCTCATTCAACTAGAACACCTATTTATGGAATTACAACAATTAACTAGCTCTAGAACTAGAACAACTAGCTATAGAACTAGAACAAGTAGCAGTGGAACTAGAACAATTTACTAGCTCTAGAACTAGAACAAGTAGCACTATAACTAGAACAACTATATAGCTATAGTACTAGAACGATTAAGTACCTCTGGAACTAGAACAAGTAGCTATAGAACTAGAACATCTAGCTCTGGAACTAGAACAACTAGCTCTATAACTAGAACAAGTATAGCACCCTAATTGTAATCCCATGTATGTACGTTCACGATTGAAATGCTTTAAAATAAAATATACTCCAAATAAAATGCCCGAGATTCCTCTTTATATATGGTGTTAATTATTCAAAGGCTATCAACAATAGGGCCTATTTTTCTGAAAAATCATCAAAGAAATTGTAACCTACACTCCTAAGAAGATTGTAGTAGATCATTGGTTGTTTGGGTTGTTGTTGTCTGGCGGTGTTGACATTAACACTGACCTTGAGCAAGACCTCGTCCAATGCCATGGCCTTGAGCTCAAGGTAATGGCCTTGACCTACTTTTTCATTTTTAAACGTTTTTACAAGTAGGTCATGGCCTTGAGCTCAAGGCCATGGCCTTGACCCACTTTTTTAAGTTTTAAAAGTTTTACATTAGTAGGCCAAGGCCATAGCCTTGAGCTCAAGGCCATGGCCTTCACCACTTTCAAAATATTTACATTATCAGGTGAGGATCCTTGCCAAGGGGAAGGTCAATGTATGTTTACATTTCCTCCAACGGCAGTCTGAAAATATTTGACTTTCGGTAATTGCCTGGATTTGAACCCAGGATTATTGAATACACGCCCGTTACGTTACGGACGGACCCAAACATACCATTCCTTACATGATCAGCTCAAATGTATGCGTTATATTTAGCTTAACAGCAGTTAGAAAATATTTTACTATGGTAATTGACAAGATTTGAACCCCGGACTACTGACTAGCAATCCAACACGCTACGCACACACCCAAACTTCCAATTCGTGTTTTGTTCAGATCGTATGTGTGTATTATGTTTTCGTTTCATAAAAAGAAGAAAAACTAAACACTGACTCTTGCCCAACCTCGGATATCATTACTTGTTTTGTTTTTACCTTAAAAAGTAGGTATTTTTACGAATACATTGCGTTTCAGGGGCATTTCGTTCTCCTTATATGATATGATTATATTATCCTTATATTATTCTTTATTATTATGGACAAAATAATGGCTATTTTCCTAAGTGCGCATCGTCAAATGGTTT